GCTCGCAAGTACCCCAAGTGGAGCGAAATATTTGAGATTGGGCGGCAATGCTAGATCAATGTCGCCACGCGGCGGACGACGCGCCCCGAGACTCTATCGCAGACCGCCCCCAAGAGGGCGCCATCTTTTGTTTCCAGGACCAGGCTGTCGAACAAAACGCGTTGGATAACATGGCCCGCCTGAAGAGCTTGAAGAGCTTTCGGGAGATGGGGGCCCGATTCGCTACGCTTGCTTTTTCTTTAGGCACCGCGCCCCGCGCGAGCGCGTCTTGGCCATGCGCCGCGCAGGCAGCGCAAACGCGGGGGCATGCCCGAAACTACGCCTGCGGCGCCAGCCGCCTCGCGCGCCCGAAGCAGGCCCGCGCGCCGAACAGGCTGCTGACGCACATCCATCGAAGCAGCATGCGCGGGAACACTTGGGGATGTGATCCTGTCAGAGCTTGCCCTGGGGAATCCGGAAAGAGAAAAGGGGCTGCGCGACAACCGCGCGGAATGTCCTGATTGCACGTCGGTCGGACCTCGGTCGCACATAGCTGCAGCGACGGAGGATCTGGTCAAGATATGGCCGACCCTCAAGGCCAGCGGATTTGACCAGGGGGGGCAGCGCCTCCGAGATACGATGCGGTAGCGCAGTTTGGCCTCACCGACCATGCCGCGTGTTTCTCCTTGCTGGCCAGTTGTCCTCCAAAGTCCAGCTGGCCCACGATCTGACCAAGACTGTGCCACAGATCGTTGTGCTGGAGGCCGATCCGCGGGCCTGCGCGCGGCGCGTTTCTTGGGCTGGCGTTTCCCTGGGGGGGGGGGTCCTCGTGGGGCTCTGGGCGCGGCCCTGGTCGTTCCCCCACGCCCTTCGGCCGGACTCTCGGGACCTCGCTTGAACCTTGGGGAAGGGTCTGAGTGAGGAAGACAGCGCTTCCGTTAGAGAAGACACGCCGGACTGAGGCTTGGATCGCTTCTGTCGCACCTTGGAGTGATCGCAGGTTTCCCGGCGGCCGTTGAATTTCCGACCCATCTTGCTTTTCCGATGACCACTGCGGACGCGGTGGAAGGGATGGCCGGGAAGGGGGGGGTCAGCACAGGAAGGGGGCCTCATCTACTATCTCCTGCTGCGTTGCGCCAGTGAGCGGGGATTCTCGCTGCCAGGAGGGATGGGGAGTTTTGATTGCGTGCGAGGTTGGTCGCCGTGTCCCCGACGAGGGGTGGTTTGCTTGGTGCCCGGAGGCTCGCGCCTTCTATGTATTGCAGCCGCGTGCCGATTCAATTGGACCTGCGGGCCACACTGGCGAAAACACGGACGAAGGCACTTGCGCGTGCCTTGTCGGCCGTTGATGTCTTTCCCCTCCCCTTTGGTAATCATTGCCAGTTTTTTCCCTTGCAAACTCAAGCGTCGTTAGGCAGTGAGTGAGTGAGTGAGTGAGTGGGTGAATGAGTGTGAGGAGGAGGGGCGACGAGGAGGAGGAGGAGGAGGAGGAGGAGGAGCACGGTTTTCTACACGTTTGGCCTTCGCTTGGTTAGGATAACAAGGAAGGAAGGCAGATGATCGGCACGAGCAGCAGGAAATGCAGGACAATGTGGAGGAGCGTGAGTGGATGGGCCGCGGAAGTCCCACGGAGTCCGTATTCTCCTAATCAGAAGGTGGCTCGGACGATCATACGCGATCCATAAGTGTGTGGTTGAAGTGTGGTTCTGCGGAGCGGGTTGCCGTTGTTATCCTGCGCCCTCTTCGCGACCCGCCCAGCGACCCATATTGGTTCGACAAAATAATGGACGAATGCTATGGGTTCGTTATCGATTGTGTTAGAACGCTGTTAGAACATCGGCGTCAGCGTCATGCCATATATATATATATATATACATTTGTACGTGATCGAGCATTGCAAGCTAGCTGCTGACGTCCCCCGCCCTTCGCTCTTATCTGGAATTTCGTGTGGGGGGGGGGGGGGGCGACTGCGGGGTGGCATTAGGGTGGTCCAGCGGAGGAATTTGAAATCGGGCCGCACAGGAGGCCGAGGCGAGGACAATGAAAAGGGGATGCAAGAAGACACGAATCTGCAGAATCACGAGAAGTAGAGGGAGGAGCAGGAAGATCAGACGGAATAGGGCCCATGCCGAGCCATACCAACCACCAGTGTTCACACATCCATTCAACCTGGCGGTAAGGTTGTCATTTCAATAGACCGGCGCGGCTTGTTTGCCGAGATTAGGAGCGGCAGCCACGACAGGGCCAGGCGAATTACACGATGGACCAAAGATGCTACAAGACCCTCCAGTCCCAAGTATCCTCTTCAGAAGTCCCTCCGAACACTGTGTTTCTCGGGGCGGAACGACCCCCCCCCCTTTGAAAGGCGAGCGCCCCATGGACCCGCAATGCAGGCGGGTTCCGTCCTGAACGAAACCACGTCCACGCTACGAGCTTGAAGGAATAGGACAAGGTGGGGGACCTCTGACCATACGACCCAACGCAGCTTCAAGCGATAGCTCCGCTGCCAAGCAAAAGTCAAGCCTCCATACGTGCAAATTTTCCGCACGATCTATTCGTAGTAGTAATGGATGAGGAAAGCACAGGCGATAATCCCATGTTGAAAGAAAAAACAAGCTGGCTTACGTCTGTCTGTGCTACGCCTGGGAATATGTCTAATCCGAGTGTGCGCGGCACCCAGGGGAAATAACCAGTGTGAAACCGAATCTCCCTCCATCCGTGTAGCTGCTTGCATTGCTTCAGACGCGCGTGTGCAGCTTTCATGCGAAAACCCATTTCGGACACCATCGGCCTTTCATTCGCGCAGTCTTGACACTGTTTGAGACGACCGTGCGCGGTGCCATGGGGAGAGCACCATTAACAAGAAACGATCCGCCCTGCGTCCATGTACTTGTGAAGTTTGTTTAAGAGGCAAGAGCCCCATTCTGAAAACAACCCGCCTTCCACCCTCGCATGTTTTGGGAATTCCAACCCTCAACGTCGTAGACGGTGTGGAAGTCTCATGCGAAACTCCGGGAACGCCCTAACGATACGCTTGGTTGCGTGGCAGGGAAAGCTTCTTTGTTATGGAAAGAACCAGAAAACTGAGAGAGCGTTAACAACAGCTCACAAGTTGTCAAATGGTTTTGGGAAATTTGAAATGATTCGGGAGGGCTCTTGGATAAAACTTGCTGGGCCTTCAGAACGGCTCTAAGAGGCAATGGCGAGGAACGAGGAGAAGCATTTGCAAGAGAGATGAGAGATGTCGAATTCGCCGCATGGCGCCGTCTGCACATTGTATGTGTAGGAGTTGTTCAGGCTCTGAAGGCTCCGAAGGACAGAGCGGAGGGAAAGGAGGAGGACGACGAGGTGCGCGGGGGCAGAGGGAGAATCGGGAAAAACCGGCTGGTGGAGAGCGGAGGGAGATAAGAAGAAGGGGGGCCAGCGCCAGAGCATCAGTGATGTTCTCGGGCGTTACGCCACGGCTCTTCGGGATTTCTCCAGGCTTGCGAAGCACATCTGGCGTGAGGCCCTTGTCTCGCACTACACTGGCGTGAGTTACCTTCTTGTTTCTTGTCGCTTACCGTTATGTACTTATCATCAGGGAAGGTGCTTGCATAATCGTGGTGGGCATGCCCCTCTGTATCCACGAATTGGGAGCGTAGCTGATAGCACGCGCGGCACTTGCAGAGCAAGCGCCTCCTTGATGTCCGTCATCCGTGTTCGGAGGCTCGGATTGGTTCTGGAGCAGGGTTGCTCGACGAATGCATGTCTTCCCAGATGGGGCCAAATGTCATTGCGGGCTGCGCGGGTGCTTCATAACGCTTGCAGTACACAACGTGTCAGCGGGCACCCGCAATCAAGAGCTATTGACAGTACTTCCCGGGCTTGAGACGATTACGATGTGTGTTGTATGAGGGGTGGGTGCTACAACTACGACTGTGGAATGATCGGCCAACTGCACAGCCCAAGCAAAACCCTCTGGGAGGGGAGAGTTCCTTCGGGGATCGTGCCAGGGACCGCTTCCATACTCGGGACAGCCTTGCTTGCCGATTGCTGTCATCTCTGTGTTGTGCTCGCCATGCCCCTCTCCCCCCCTTCTCTTCATTCTCGCGTATGGGGAGCTTTTACTGAGCAGTTGAGGACCTGAAGGAAAGAGAGGATCAGGAGGAAGAGGATGAGAAGGGTTGGATCATGGTCGGAACAGCAAAGACGACCAAGAGCAACAGGAGCAGCTACGTTATCAACTACGGGTCACGGGGCAGTGTGCGGGGCAATGCCGACAGCAACGTAACGGTCAATCCTATAGACAACAATCATCCCAATACCGTTCGCTCTTGCTTGCTTCGATGTTGACGACCGCGGCGGTGGCGGCGGCGACGACGACCACGGCGATGGAGGGGATAGCGACTAAAGCAAAATCACCAATGCCAGCGACCACAACCATCTCAAGATCGCTCGCTCGATTGTGCTCTCGGGCCATCCGCTGATAGGGACGACGACGACCTCGCGAGGACGGTGATGGAGGCCCAGACATACAATGATGTGGTGTTTTAAACCGCGGTCCCCAGAAGCATCGACCCCTTCCGGAGGGTTCTGGTCTTTTGTCCCGGATCCATGCTTGATTGTCCTGGTGCTTGAGCACAGCCCCCCAGAGGGCAAAACCGAGGAACAACGCCCAGATCACTGTTGCTCTGGTTCCTCTTCCTCTTGGCATTACGACGTGGCCTGGCAACGCGAAGGCGGCCAGGAACAGCCAGCAGAGGTTCCTTCCCCCCCCTCCGGTCTGGGTTAGGAGCTGCGGCTCGCAGGCCGGGGAACGATACCCATAACTAACGTGGCAGGCAGAGCGGAGTAAACGATTCTCAGTGAGACACTCTGGCAGGCGCCCAGACCTCAAAGAGAAAGCAGAGGCGCAGTCTTGACCATTTTGTTCCACCCACGAAGCGCCCTGTGGCAGAAGCGGAAGAGGAGGAGGAGGAGGAGGAGAAGGAAGGAAGATGGGGAGGCGCGCCAGAAGTCTGGGACACGAACCACCCGAGGTGCGCAGAGCGAGCACCACATCGGCAAAGTCCGCGAGGAAGGGCCTGTTCCACTTCCTGCCGACGTCGGGAAGGCAGCCGCCGCCCGACCCGCCGGCTTAAGGGGAACTTCGGGGGGCCCCAAACGGTGTGGTGACCACACCGCGTGGTGACTCAGCGGGATTCGGGGTTGTTACCGCATGGTTTTGGGATTCGGGTCGTTCTGGGAAGAGACGTCTCGGGCGACTGGGGCCTCCGAGGTCCCAAGACCGTGCGGTGACGGACCGCGCGGAGAGGTCTGTTCGGACTTCGGGATCTCGGGGTCACCGCGCGGTCGGTCACCACCTTTGGGGGATCCCAGAGACCTTCTCCCCAGGGCCCCGTCTGAGCCCTTGCGGCGCCCGAGGCTCAGAAGATGAAAAGGTACCGATACCGTTGACCGTCCTGGAGGGCCCTTGTCACCACGGCTGGAGTCACCTCGAAATCCAAGTCAGAGCGCACCCCATGAGAGGTCCGGGGAGTAGCGGTATCAGTGCCGTCTCCTACTAGGGGAGTCCTAGGGGCCTCGCGCGGTGCAAAAAGTTGCATCATCTAGTTCACACCTCTGCCCCGTAAGATACAGGACGACGCTTCTCGCGGCGATGTTTCGACGGAGGTCCGACGTGAACCCGACGCTTTTTCTGACGCAGCTCCAGTGCACATTTGGTCTGCAGTTGCCGCACGAGGCCTCCCAGATCTCCCCCTATGACTGCTCGTCTCCCCAGGGCCCGCTCCTCCGCCGAGGCGGCAGTCCGAGGGCCTCACGGCGGCCGACTCGGCTCAGATGCCGAGCGGCCCTGGGGGTCGAGGGGGGAACGGAGGATAGAGGAGAATCCAGGTTTGGAGTAGTACTGTTGCCCTTTTCGGCCCGGGTGGGGGGTGCGGCATGCCTCCTCCGGCTTCAGAGGACCTCCAGGAGGACCGAGGATCGAGGATCTGGGGGAATCGAGGATCCAGGACTTTGGAAGGTGTCTCAAGGCCCCTGTGAAGGCGTAAGAGAACCTCCAGTATAGGCGTCAAGGGATCTTCCGGGGTCTGCAGAGGACCTCCGAAGACTTGGACGTCCAGAGGCCAGGGCGCCTTACGACTCCGAGAGTTCGCGCTGGAGGCAGAGCCCTTCTTTTGCTCGACGCTGGGGGCCCGCGTCTGTGCCCGGGGACAGTCCAACAACGAGTTGGGATGAAACAATCGCCCCGTGGGAATTGTCGACTAGACGTGAGAGTGACCTTTCGCCGGAGTGACCTTTGGTGCTGGCCCAGTGGGGTCCCGATCGCCGAACGCGAAGCGATGGTAGCGTCTTGCGCACTTGTGTTTGTCCCCCCCCCCGCGGCCCCCAGAAAGCCGCACACCAAAGGTCACTCTTCCCCAGGGTCACTCTTGCGTGTAGCCGAAATTGGCATCGCTCGGACGCGTGCATTTCTGTTCGGCGAGGCCAGCCCAAAAATCTCGACCATCTTGGTGCAGCTTGGGCCATCCCGTGAACAGGAGAGGCACGGAGCCAAAGGATGCACGGGGAATGGACGTCTGAGCGATGGCAAGTGGACGGGGTCGAGAGCCAGGTGGGCTCACGCCACATGGAGAGCGGAAGGTCGGAGGTGAGAGTCCGATGTCGTGGTCTTTGTCTCGGCATAGGGCGCGACAAAAAAGCCTCGCCATCGCAGGGCTAATTTCGATTCCTCCGACTCGATTCGATTCGATTTAGATCGATTCCGATTCTGATGCGACTCGACTGCGGATTCCGATGTGGATTTCGTGTTCTCAATTGAGCCCTTGCTAGCCTGCCGATTTCCGCCGACTCGACTTCTCCCGACGTTGCTGACTATCTCCGCCGATCCGATTCCTGCCGATCGCCGATCCGATTTATCGGTTCGGTTCTTGGCTCTCCTGCTGTCGAAGGGTCGAGAGGTTTACACCATCTCGCCCGCGGCGGAAGTTGGCGGCAGTACAGATAAGTTGACTCTGCAGGCAGGAGGCCGGCGGAAGCAATCGAATGGAAACGTTGACCCCCGGAGGGGGCTTAACGCCAGGTTACTCGCCGTGGTGGAAATGAGCCCTGAGGGAAACGGGTCCTGAGGTGTTTCACCGTTTTCGGGCTCTCGGGGCCTCTCGCGGCCCTCCACGGGCCCCGGGACTGTCAGAAATCGATTCAGGATGCATAATTGATCCTGAGGGAAGGCCCCAGGGTCCAGGACCCGTTTCCCTCAGGACCCGTTTCCCCCATGCCAGGTCACCCAGGATTTCAAGAGGTGGCCACGTGGGCGCTGGAAGTCTCGACCCCAGCCCCTGGGCCAGCCGTTCGTCGCGGGTCGGTTTCTGATGCCCCTGGGGCCCAGAGGCGCACCCCTGGCGTCGAACTTGCGAGAAGTCATGCGTCGCAATGCTTTGGCAACGCCTGGAGGTGAGGACCCCCTGTCCCAGCCAAGACCCTCTCCTCCCGGCCCAGATCCCGGCCAGGCTGGAGGCCATGTGTGATCTAGGGGTCCACACCCGCTGTGGTGTCGTCGTCGTCGTCGTCGTCGTCGTCGTCGTCGTCGTCGTCGTCGTCGTCGTCGTCGTCGTCGTCGTCGTGGGGGGGGGCCAGTGGAACCCTGGAACTCATCCCATTTCGAGGGGGGGCCTGCGATCTCTCGACCTGGGATCGTATATGGCGAAACCTGGCCCAAAGTGGTCACGTGGAAGACTTCGTGAGGGTGTGTACTTTCCTTCTCTGCGTCCTGCCTCGCCTGCCAGAGCAGGGAGGTCTGTGTCCTCCAGTGGGGGCCCGATCAGGACCTTGGAGTTCGTCGCTCCGTAGATCGGGTGGGACCGGCATCGACGCCAACGAAGGACGCTAACGGACGACACACGATGGTCGACGAACGACGAAGACAGTCGACGACTGCGACGGTGGCGGACGACGGACTACGGACGACGACAGACGACAGAAAACAGACGATGGGGGCTGTGTGTGTGGGGGGGGGGGGGGGAAAGGACGGACGGGGGACGAGGCGAGAGAAAGAAGGCATGCTGCTGGACGCCGTGCGTGGTGACGTTTACTCTGCGTGTCACTGTCGAGCTCTGGCGCTAGAGGGCCTCTGAGCGGTTCGAGTCTGTCCGTCCGCGCTTCGAAGGGAAATGATAGCCCCCATGAGGGGAAACTGATTCAATGCTGAATCGGTGCAGGGGTAGTTTGAATTGATTTTCTGAGAAAAAGCCATTCTGCTGGACGCTGGGGCTGTGTGGCGTCCGGCCGCGGTCGCGGCCGGCCGGCCTGGCCGGCCGCGACCGCGGCCTTCTTGCCTTCCTTCCTTCCCGGAGGAGGCCTGGCCGGCCTCCTCCTCCTTCTTGCCTTCCTTCCTTCCCTCCTCCTCCTCCTCCTCCTTACTTCCCTCCTCTTTCTCCATTCCTCCTCCTTCTCCTCCTCTTCCTCCTCCTTCTCCTTGATCCCCCTCCTCCTCCTCCTCCTCCTCGAAGGCAGCGGCGACGACAACAACGAGGACGGACAGCGATGGTGACGGCGACGGCCGACCATGGGGCCGACGACGGGACCGACGACGACGATGGACGACGACGGACGACGACGGCGGCCGACGACACACGACGACGGACGGCGACGACGACGGCGACGACGACGGCGACGACGACGACCACGACCACGACCACGACCACGACCACGACCACGACCACGACCACGACCACGACCACGACCACGACCACGACCACGACCACGACCACGACCACGACCACGACGACGACGACGACGACGACGACGACGACGGCTGACGTGGGTCGTCGGACGACTGACGACGACGACGACAGCGATGCCGCCGGCGACGACGACGATGATGATGACGACGACCACCCCCAGATCTGTCCTCTGGTGCATTCTGGCAAGAGTTGTGGCGGAAACCCTGGCGTGGTGACGAGGGTGCTTCCAAAGATTCTAGACGTTTCGCCGAACCCTACCAGCCCATCCAGACACGATGCCCAGACGAGTTGCCTTGATCAGAGAGTGTGGAGGATCATGCAGCGGAAAAAAGGGCTGGGTAAGACGTCGTACCCCAAGGAGTAGGGGGAGGGGAGGAGGAGGAGGAGGAGGAGGAGGAGGAGGAGGAGGAGGAGGAGGAGGAGGAGGTGGAGGAGGAGAAGGAGGAGGAGGAGGAGGAGGAGGAGGAGGAGGAGGAGGAGAGGAGGAGAGGAGGAGGAGGAGGAAGGAGGGAGGAGGAAGGAGGAGGATGAAGAGGAACAGGCGGATGAGGAAGAGGAGGAGGTGGAGGAGGAGACGGAGAATGAGGGCGAGCACAAAGGCCAGAGGCTTCTTGGATGCTTCTCGGAGTCTCTTCGGATGTCTCTTGACAGCATCTTGCGGGCTTCTTGGGGCGTCTTTTGGGGCCAGTTGGCGGTCCTGGAGGCCTCTTGCAGCGTCTTGGTTGCCTCGGGTGGGCCTTTTTGGGCCTCGTGGGGGTCACCTAGGAGCCCCTTGGGAACATCTTGGGGGCCTCTTGGAGCTTCCTGGGCGCCTCATGGGGCACTCACTGTTGGGAGCCTTGGGGACCATCCTGGGGCCATCTGGGAGGAATTAGATCAAAGAAGGGGGGAATCCAATTAGCGCGCCTCCCCCCCCCCCCAGGAGGCCAAAACGGGCCCAAAACTTGATATGTAATGGTTTGTGCGTTCTCGCCAAGACCATCTCCGACGCTCCAGCGACCTGCGACCCCACCCTCCAGACCCAGGGGGAGAGTGCAGCGAGGGGGTGAACCCTTCACCGAAGGGGAAGACAGGAGCTGGAAGAGGCAACCCGCTAAACCACTCACGCCCTAGGATGGGTGGGATTCGCTGAGGTGGGATTCGCTGATCTTCGAAACACGTCCAGAAAACATGGGTGGGATTCGCTGATCCGCTGGGGCTTTCCGAAAAACGTCCAGAAACATCGATCTGCGATCCCCGCTGGCTGACTGCTGATCGACGACGGCGGTCGGACGGCGAAGATGCCGAAGACGAGGGCGACGACGGCTTGCGACGATTGTGATGATGGCGGCGCCGACCCCGATCTGAGAAGGAGGTGGGAGAGGAAGGG